AGCAAGCTCTGAAGACAGAACTTATGAGACCTTTGCATTTAGTTAAATTTTTCAATTTTAGAATGTTGCCAGGAAATGTGTAACGCTTTGAGAGTTAAATCTCCAATCCTATATACATATATATATATATATACTCTTGAGCAGTCTCAACAGGCGAGTGAATATATCCACATTTGTTTCTCAATGATATATAATGCTTCGGTGCAAAGAGAAATTCCAGTTTTCCCTGCCTTAATTATATTTCTATGATATCTTTTACTTAAACAATTACAAATTGTTTACCTAATGCATCTGATTGTCTTACTTTTTTTAATTGCTTAATTTGACTTGCATTTAAGCTAGAACAGAGGTTCTCAAACTTATTCTAACTACCACCCACATTTTGTAAATTCATGAAGTTCTAGCGCCCTCCAAAATGTTTAGCAAAAACACATTTTTAAAATCCCCATCTTATTGATTACTTGAATTACTAGAATAAAACTCTAGCGTTCCACACATGAATCTTATCGTGTTTTTGTGGACTTTATCGCCCCCCTGCAGGCTTCTAGCGCCCACAAGGGGGCGTTATCGCCCACTTTGAGTAATACTGATCTATACCGCTCATAGGGAACATAGAGTGAGACATTCGCTCGCCATCTCCTTCTATTGCATCTAGTGAGGCCTCGCTTTGCTGATTCAAGTTCAATGTACCATCTAATTTGATAGCTCAATTAGTATCCAAGATCGAACCTGAAGCCTCAATTTTAACCATGGTTGACATAACCAATTGAATTATACCATTTTAGTTAAAGTTTAACTTGTGTCTGCTGCTCCTATTCTTGGCGTCGCGGCATCGTGGCATCGTTGGATGCGGCGAAACGTTCAATTTTAATTAACACATTGCTTGCCTCGAACTTTCGACTCATTCACTTTAAAAACTCGGCACGCTTCACTGTGCAAACGTGGAGTGCGCGCTACGGATTCGAGCTCTGTGCGCTTGGAGCGCTCTCTCCGCTTCACTGGGTATCGAAGGGCCAGTCCCCGGAGCTCTGGCTAGCCCAGATAACACTGGGACTGAGGCAGCAGAGGCAACAGCTGCTGCACGTCGTGCATACTGTCCAAGTAATTTATAATATGAGCGACGTGCTGATAAATGAGCTGTCGTTGCGCCAGTTGCTAAATATTAACCAGCTAGCCGAGTTTAGTTAGACACTTCTAACCAAAAACAAGTCACAGTGCTCTCTAGTCGAGAGTGGCCAACTAGTAGATACCCTGTACTCAGAGCCGAGTCGACGTAAATTACTTTTGTACTTCCTTTTTTACCAACCAACCAATCGTCCAACCCGTTTATCCAACAACTTGATGAGTTTACGATTTGCGAGAATGTTGTTATTAAATTTCAAGCCTACAGCTTCTTATCAAGAATATATATACGAGCTTTATGAGAAGGATGATGCTTTTTCTGCACAATGTCTTGCAACCTTTTTCTGAGATACTTTGAATGGATACAGGGTATATACAAAAAAAAATGGTGAGCAAGTGGAACCGAGAGATAAATGTAGACCAAAAAAAAAAAATAAAATAGAGAGAGCGAGAGAGATAAAATGCCGTAGAGCCCACCAGCGATATGCTTCGCCGCGTCGCTGGAAGCCTTCAAAGCGCTCCATCTGCAATTTAGAGCAAGGTCTTTAGACTGCCATTAAGGCACTTTACGTTCCGGCTCAGCATTCCGTATTCGCCATCAAATCATCAACACTTCCCGGCACTGCAGCCCTCAAGCGTAGCGCAACATTATTTATGCAGATTTTTTGAAACAAAAGCTTCCAACTTAAACTGTCGCAAACGTCCCCGTCAACGCACCGAGCGCAACAAGCGTGAGAACTAGCGCCAGCCAGTGCCGCCACAGTGGTAAGAGAGACATGGAAAACGCCAGCAAAATAATCCTAATAATATCAGAGTGTGTTCAAGCCACTTGAGAATTCAATCTTACAATCGTCTTTTTTTCGCATTAACCAGCTCTCGTTTCGCTGCCTTCCTTTCTAGTTGCGCTCTTTTATCGCCCATCTGATTTTAGATCACAAAACAGGTAGACAACTCATAAGGCAGTTTCAAAATTCTTTCAAACTTGGCACGAAGTTAAAGGCCCGAGTCCCTATGAAGATGATATGCAAACAAATTTGTATCCATATCTGTTGAATCAGAACTAAAGCACATTTGCTGATATATTTCAATTGCTTAAGAATCCTAAAATCGGTCTATTTCACATTGCACATAATTCACGCATTTTTGGGGACACTGTGCGAAGTGCCAAACAAAACGCGATGCCATTAAGCTTAAGTTGGGGGATAACAAAAAAAAAAATACAAAAAAAAACGAAGTGCTAGACGAAAAACCATCAAATAAAGCAAAACTCTTCACATGCACTAAACTTAATGTAGATGTGGGTGTGCGTTTGTGTGTATTATGTGGTATTGTGTCGCACATGTGGCTGTGCAAGGGTGTGCGTGTGTGTGTGTGTAAGAGAGTGGGCTGCTGTTTGGCAATACAATAAAATTTACACGCTTATTAATTTTTACAAGACTTTGTCCGACACTTGAGCGAACCGCCAGCAACATGAGCGATGCACAACAACAACAGCAACAGCGAAAACAACAACAATGAAGCTGCCTTTGTAAGGTTCCATCGTGCTTACCATTCACCCACTAACACACACACACACACACACACTCGCATACGCACACTGCCTATGGAAAAGTAGTTGGATGATCATGAGAAGGAAGCCGGGCGGCACCTCTTCAAACAAAAATTCAACTTATATTTTGTTGTTGGTTTATTATTATTTTTTTATTTTTTTGTGCTATTTTGCCCTGCCCGCTGGGAGAAAAAGTGCACACAAAGGCAAGAGAGGCAGAGCCGTCTAGTGGGTTGTGGGAGGGCGTTGCCATTCCCAGTAACTTTGCTCTAAAAAGTTTTCGGTCCCTTTGGGCGTTGCTCTAACTGTGGCATAAGCAAACTGAGATGGGAGAGCTGTGAGTGGTGCGAAGAGGTCAACATAACGCCAAAGCTATTGCAGCATTTTCGGTTTGCATGTAAATATATAAGACATGTTTTACTATGCAAAATATGGCTAAAGTACAATTTTTCTTTATTTCGCAACTTTCATCAGACATAGTAGAGCACAGGCGAGAAAGTATATGAACAAGGACCTTCTGTCATGTCTAGTGTGTCACGTGTGTACACACAAACACACACAGACACACACACACACACACACACACACACACACACACACACACACACACACACACACACACACGCACACGCAACTGAAGCCTCGTAACATCAAAAGGGCGGCTCAGAGCCCACCGCATACTAGAGGTTTGTCCGGGAGTTCTTATCCGTTTCCAGTTGCCATCTAGCTGGCGGAGAGGTGCTTTGGGGAATGTCCAACAAGTAGACGGAAACCGTGCTAACACTGTGTGTGTCAATGTGGGTGTGTGGGTGTGTGTGTGTGTGTAGCCGAGCATAGAGAAAGGACTCACAGATAAGGTGCACAAAAAACTAAGCAAATTGGATGCTTTCAAAATACATTTAGTTTGAAAAACAGTTTGCAAAAAGGAAAAAAAAACACTGGATTGGAATTAAAAGTGATTCGTAAACCACAGGAGACAGTTGTACAAAGTGTGCGAGATATAAAAGTTACGCAAGTCTCTCGGCGAAATACACAGTTGCCAGCACTTAAATACTAATTAAAAGATTAAATATAGTAAGTAGACTAAGCTTGCGGTTCTCTCAGTAGATAGGTGCTGCATGCAATAAATTGAACTCAGGTAAAAAGAAAAATGCAAAGTATTCACTCACTTTGATATTTTAACGTGAACTTAAATTATAATTATTTTAAATGTATACAGAAAATAAATCCCTTAGGCTCTCCGATTTCAGAGCCAGAAAATATCTAGAGACATTAAGTTGGGTATATTAGTTCGCCCATACCCAAGGCAAATATCTTCATGTTTCTATCTTTAGCTATAGGCTATATGATTTAAATCTCCTTAAATGAACCTCGTCTCAGGCAACGTTCAGGGCAAGGTTTTTCTTGCTGTCCTCGTGCTCCTTGAGAACTCTCGACCATATCGTTATAATATGCAAAATATAAGATAAAGTGCAGGTGGTTGGCTTAGTTGTCTGTTGGTTAGGAACAATGCTCCACATCTGACGCACATTCACGCCTCTTGGCTTGAGCTACTTAGGTGGTTTTGGAACCACCAGCTGAAAATGCAGCTGAAGCTGCAACTGAGCTGTGGCACTGGATCTGGTTAGCTTGAAGTGCTGCCGTTGGCCCTGGTAAATTTCCGCCTTTCACTGGAGCACGCCCCAACCGCCCAGAGCACAGGGCAGATGCTCTGACGGATGTCGCGCTGACATCATGCACTCAACTTAGTATATGGCCACTATATGGTCGACACTTGAGCACTCGAATGGCAGCCAACTGCTATCACTTGGCTTGGATTCGGGTTGGGGATGTCGTTGGCGTTGGCGTTGGCGTTGGCGTTGGCGTTACAGGTGGAGGTGGGGTTGAAGTGGGGAGTGGGGTTGCTAGCAAGCAGTAAGCAGCTTAAGCGCTGGATGGAATTTTTGCCACGAGTCACGCTCATGTGTCATACAACGTACTGTGCTGTATGTAAATAGAATTTATAGATATCTCTAATCAAATATACCCAACAGACATAATAAATATATTTCATATTATTTACACACACGCAAACACTCACATATGTTCTGTCTGTCTTTATTTATATGTATACATATGTATTCTTTGATATATCATTCTTGAATATTTCAAGTTGTTTGGCTTTGTTTGCAGTTCCATCATATTGTTTGTGATGGGTGTCTTGTATCTGTTCTCTGTCATCAATGTAGTTTTGTTTATATGTTGCTTGATTGTTTGCATATTGGCAATTGTTCTAATAGTTTGTTCATTTTCTGTGCGTAACTGCTGCTTCTTCTTCTTTTATTGACAGCTATGACGGAGGAAATAACCGGCAATTGGAGCTATTATGTGTACATATCACTAACGTTGGTTCCAGTCTATTTGGCATTTCAGCTCATTAAGTTTTTGGGCTGGCAGTTATTTGTGAACAACTGAGCAAATAGTCAAACACAATCCAGCACCAGCTCCAGCAACAACGACAACAGAACAGACTGCACAGGCCAGCAGAGGAGTCATAATCACAATTGAAATTGGAATTGCAGTTGGAAGACGAAAACTGAAAACCGAAACTGACTACCAACTACCAACGCTGCGAGTCATCGAGCTGCCGCTGCAGTTCCAAAAAGGTGCGTAGTCACTTGAAGGCAGTCGCTGCTGTCAGTCGAGAGTCAAGTCGAGTCAAGTGCAGCAAAGGAGCGAAGAGTACTCTGAATACCTAAGGCATAGCCCAAGTCAAGCTCTAGCCAGCCGCGGGCAGCCTTTGCGCATCAAGCAAAGTCGGTTGCAAATAATTTTAAAACTATTTAAATATGCTTATGACTGAAGTTTTTCTTTTCCAGACACGCTCACTGACAAGGACCTTTCCCGGGGAAACAAAAAACAAAAAAATAAGAAGCTAGAGAAATAAAAGAGAACGCAAAGTTCTATCTACAGATCCTTAAGCGCATGTCGACACACACAAACGCACACACACTCACACACTCTGGCAGTAATATAAAAAAAAATTTGCCTAAGTAAATATGTTTAAATACAATAAAAACAGAGAGTTAGCATAGCTGAGAGAAACCAAGCAATGTTAACAATATAAACCAAAAAAAAAAAAGGAAAAGAAAAAAATTAAGAGAAACGAACATAACCCAAGCGCCAGCTGTTAGAAATTTTTAGTTGAGTGTAGAAAATTGAAATCAGAGAGTGAATTGCTGCTCTCTGTTGGACTGGCTGCTGGTCAGGCTGACCGCACAGAGTTCCTGAGACTGCAAGACAAAGGCGAGGAAATGCAAAGCAATCAACGTCATAAACAGCAGGAGCAGCAAGAACAGCAGCAAACCCAGGAGCTGGTATTGCAGCAGGAGCAAAAGCAAACCGAATCCCAAACACGCATTCATTGCCGTGGTATAAAAGAACAACAACAACAGAAATAAGAGCAACACTAAGCACAACAAGCAGCTGCAACTTTAACCGGAACAGCTGAAAGCCAGGCAAGTGCAAAAAGTAGCAGCAACTGTTAAAGAAAGCAAACGAAATTTTGTAGGCGCCTGTCGACAGCAGCTCAAGAAACCAATTTACATATTTAAGCTTGTAACGTCCGGCAGCCAGAAGCGGACACACAGCTGTCAGTCGAAACACTCAAACAGTCGAGCAGTCGGGCAGTCAGTCATTTGAATCAATAAGGCAATTCCAATAGACGGCTCCAATAGAGTGCACCGAAGCTGCAGCTGGATCCGGACATTGGTTGATTGAAATCGAAAAGCAGTTAGCAGTTCACACCTCAGCTGGCCGCACGCAGCTAGAAATATGCGGCTGCCATATCGCAATAAGAAGGTCACCCTTTGGGTGCTCTTTGGCATAATTGTCATCACAATGTTCCTATTCAAATTTACCGAGCTGCGCCCGACCTGTCTATTCAAGGTGGAATCCACAAACGATGGACCCTCCCAAATGTTCCGTTTGGAGGTAAGCAGACTATACTATACTATACTATATATATATATATATATATATATATATATTCATCCCAACACACACTTGGACTTGAAATCAACTCAAGTTTATTTACTCTTGACTGCGTGTAGTATTAAGAAACCAACAGTGACCAGTGACCAGGGCGACGATTGTAAATGATAAATCAAATTGTGGCAACAACATCATCAACGACACCATCTATGTGTCGCCTCTTTAGACTCAAAGGACTGGATAACTAATTTCATGTTGACTGCACACGCTGACCTTACCGCAAGCCATGCAAAGTCATTGGGGGATTTGCTGGTTATCGGATGGCCGAACACCATTTTGTAAACATTAGTTGGCCAAATGGCAACGAGAGCTGCAATTTTTCCTGCTGTTGTTGCTATCGTTTTTCACTGCGGTTGATTTCCTTGTGGGGACTGTAGTAAGTCCGCACTCAAACCTGCAGCTACTCAGCTGGAATGCCAGCACACACTCTATATGCACACACACACATATATATGTATATATGTATATATAGAGTGCTAGTCTGAAACTGATAGCTTTTCCAGCCATTATTCGATTGCGAACTCGAATTTACGTTTCAATTAATATGTTGTGAAAATAAGTTTAATGCTTGGACCTCCATCTTTCAGCCAGTGAACTGGTATTTGTGGCTCTCTGAAAATTAAATGCAATTGTATGGCAAATACAAAAGTTCCATACAACTGTTTTTCGTCCAATTTTCACACTCAATTTCCACAAGATTTTCACACACAGATAACCAGATAGCCCAAACAGATAACAAGTGTAAATAACTGTTCGTTGTGCACCGCAAACTGTTTGGTATATATGTATTATACATCAACTACGTTTGCTGTTCATCGTTCGTCATACTTGAGCAGCACTGTAGTGCACACATTGCTTTTGAAGTATTTAAGCCTTTTAATGTATCCAGCAAAACTGCGTTTGCCCCCAATTTGTAATTGCCCAGATCAATAATTCATTATTAGGCCACAATCTATTTGCGCTTTGTCACATTTTTATCGCATCAAAGCAGTCGTCCGATAAGGTCCAAAGACAGACAGACAGCTCGAGTTCAGGCTTATCTGATCGATTAAAAATGCTGACTAAGAGGCCCAAATCGTGGGACTTACCACAATTGTTGACCAGTTGGGAAAATTCTCAGCAGCTAAATGTAACACCCTTACAAAGGGTACTTTATTCATTATGCGAAATGTGGAACGCAACAATGCATATATGCATATATAGATACATTCCTGATCTACTGATCTGATATATATATATGTATTGTCCGTCCGTCTGTTTCTGAGCAAAGTAGTCCCTCGGCCTCATCTTTTTTTTCCTAGCTGTGGTTCGTCTAACTATTACAGACAGATCATATATCGCAGTCGGCCCCTTTCGGACCACCATATCATATAGCTACCACAATCCAATAATACCAATAATCGGTTGAAATCAATCTTGTATTGAAATCTATTTTTCTATACATCTCAAACAAACTTGATGCTGCTTACATATGAACAAAATGTTATCATAGCAAGAAACAATTCAGTAATGAGATTTTTAATAGAATATTTTATGTTCTGAAAATAAAAACTCAGCGATTGCAATATACCTTATATATCTGCAAACCCTTTCAAATCGCACTGTTATATCATATGGATTTTATAACCATAATCGTTCAGTCGTCCACAAGTGTATTTAATCTGCGGCATGTCGCTGACAGCTATTATTTGATGCCCTTGTTATATCTATCATAATTTCACGCATATTATCGTCGCAGTGGTTAAAGCGGCTCGTATTATGTGCTTAGATTCTCGAGTTGAACGCATTGCTTCAAGAATTTTTAACGACGCACGAAAATCCTTTAAATTGACATTAATGCGACAGGCGCGCCAAAGGTTAACGGGCTGCTTTTACCCATACACACACACACACACACCTGTCTCTATCTATGTTTGTGTGTGTGTGTGTGTGTGTGCGTTCCTACGCAAATTTAGTTGGCAGCAGCGCCGCTTGCCTCTGGCACCTTTGCGACATCCCCTCTATCCACTAGCCAGGCTGCCAGATGCTGATTTTCATAATTATCATCATTATCATCGTGGAGACACGTAATTTTTGCCTGTAACTTTTCTCTAATTTAATTTTTTACATTTCTTTTTTCTTGCTTTCGCCACCTTCTTGTGCCTGATGCCACGCCCACGTCAACGCACGCTCAGAAACACGTCACAGATAACAATAATCGCGTCTATGCATACTACCGTGGGATGCCATTAATATTCATAGGTGGTGTGCCCAGATCTGGTACGACACTAATGCGCGCCATGTTGGATGCTCATCCCGATGTGCGGTAAGTTTGCAACAGCCTGTCCCTTCACCTACTTCACCACACCCCTGCCCTGCCCAGGAACGCCCACACTCATACTACTTATGTGCACGCAACCCTTCTAGGGTTGATTCCCCATTCGCAACATTTAGCAACGGCTACGATGGCACACAGTTGATGTCAACAGGTCGAGTTTGGCAGATTATCCAAACTTTATTCAAACATTTTCATTGGCTTTTCAATAATATTGGAGTTAAGTAAAGTTTTCTTTAGCAATATGTTACATATTCTGACAGCATGCAACATATTTTGTTCTATTTTCAATGGTTCGGTTCACGGTCCGATCCAGTCATTCATTAACGTGGCCAGCCACATCTACGAACCTAGATTTTGGTTTTCAGCAGAACCATACGATTTTTAATCATTTTTTTCTAATCTTGAAAAACTACAAAAATGTTGCATTATTTTTATAAAATATCAAAAATATTCATTCTTATCCAGCCAATTTTTTCTTGTTTTAACCAATATGGTTCCGTTCGGGCTTAAAGCTCGATTAATGCTCAATGAAAATGTAAAATAGATTTGCAATCTTGATTTTATTGTCTATATATCATATTAAACGAAGGCATATATTAGTATTTTAATGTATTAGATATAAGACAAGACTTGACAATATTTTGCCTCATCGAGCTTTTACCTGAGATTTACACACATAAACAATTCCAAAAATTCGAGCGGACTAAATTAAAATATGTTTTCTGCTCTAATATTACAAAGTAAATCGATAGCATGAAGGGGGCTTTAATTTTTTCTGAAAAGCGTACATTCGCAGCTTGTTTATTATATGACATGATGGATGGTTGGCACCCTCTGTCCACTTGGGTCGGATTTATGGGCTAGTCTGTGCGGTTGCTGCCACAGCATGAATTAGATTATTAAGTTTTTGTTACGCATGACTAATTAGCCACGAATTATTTGCTGCTGACGTCCTTTGTGCCCTTTGTCAGATAGATGCGAGTGGGCGGCAACAAAATAAAGAGTGGAGAGCGGCATATTAAAGGAGACTCCGCTACGGCACAGAACAAGTCGGCTGCGTGTGGGAGGGCTTGTTAGGTGTCGACTTTCGCCTGCTTATTTTATTAACAATTTGCTTCCTTTTTTTTAAAAACGCTGGCGTCTCCCCGCCGAGTCCTGACTTCTGACTCGTACGTAGCTCGTGGCTCCTGGCTGCTGACAGCAGTCAGCGCCACTTTTACTGATGGCTGCACAGCACAATTTCCGCTATTTAAAAACTTACTTCCGCCCCGCAAGAGGCAGGTCCGCATTAAGTTAAACTTGTGCCAACGCAGATACAGATACAGCTGGATGTACGGATACAGATACGAGCATCTATGTGTGTATGTGTGTGAGTGAGTGTGTGTGTGGGTGTGTATTAAATCTATGTCTGTAGAGATGGGTCCACTGTTTTTACACTGCCCTCGTTAGCTTTTGTTCGTCCGATTTGCATATAAGCCACGCGCATGTAATTGCTCCAAGATTATATATATTTGTAGAGCTTTGCTGCCTTTGTCTAGCTTGAGTTAGTCAGGCAAAAATGTGGGGATACTATGTGACTCATGCCCTCGAAAAACTATGTTAGTTGGGAAATTTCCAGAGAGGGTTGCGAATGCGCCAAATGCCCCTCAGTGAATAGCGAGCAAATGGATTCCGCAAAGCAATAAAATCATTTAAAATATATGTAAGAATGCTGTAGTCGACAGTGCAGGACTTGGCGAGTATCCTGTACGCAAATGCCCATTGACTTGGAGCTAAACCAAATTTGATCTACCTACGATATTCGAGCAGAGATTGCAAGCCAAATTTGGTGTCTATAGATAATTGATTCTTCCTCTCGCATAGCCTAAGAAAAACGCTTATTTTGAACCTTTGATATCTTTAATAATCTTCAATTTAATTTAATATAAATATTACCTATATTTTATATCTACATATTTTCTCACTCGAAATAAGCTACAATATATTCATGTTTTCAAATAAATATACTGCTCCAACCTGTTGATAAATGTGGTGCGGTTGAACGACAGCTTATGGTCAATAAACAATTGAATTCCGAGCATATATATATATATTTTTTTTTCATATTCCACAAAGGCATGACGAAGCGCCCTGTAAAGTATGCTATGCTAATTGATATGGCCAAGCAGGCATTTATTAAATTAAATTTGCCTTGATTGCCTTAACCGATTTCCAGACACATTCGTGTATATCAAATATTCATGCATGCCGACCGACTCGTTTCCCACAAGACTCCACAATTATTGCCGCCAATAGAATGCAATTAAAATATTTGAGCATAAGCTGCTACGGCATGAATTAAGCCTTCTGCTGGCTGCAGCCATATTAATTTCCATTAATCAAAATTGAACTGATGAGTGCTCCGCAATGTTCATATTCCAGCCCTTTTGAGCCAGACATGGGGTCAAGTTATTCGTAAATCGCAATTCAAGCGAATCTCAATGGCTGATTCGATGCTGTTCATTTGTAAATTACATGAGGTTGCAAAGTAAATCAACTGTGAGGCATGTTGCTATATGCCCTGATTAAAAACCCAGAGGTACGATGATTTTTAACGGCAGATGCTGCAAGCTACAGCCAATTTTGCGATTTTACTTGTCAATGTGAACAAGTGCTGGAGTCGAGCATCCGCCTTCAGTTAGTCGATTGGATTAGCAAAAGGCCCAAAGCTGCAGCAGCCAGCGGGGCTGCCGAATGCGGGCTAAGGACTATGGGATGCGGGTGGGGGCTCGACTGGGCTCGGCTGTTAGCCAGCTATGTGATATCAAACGTCATTGTTGTTTCGCTGTTTTGTAACATGACTTCCCATTCTCGTGCCATTTCCTCCCTATGCTCACTGCTCACAATTTACCTTCCCTTCACTCTTCGCATTTCCGGGCTCTGCTGTGCACTTGCTTATTCGCTTTTGTATGTCTCATCCATTTAGCTGCGGGCAGGAGACGCGCGTCATTCCGCGCATTTTGCAGCTGCGCTCGCACTGGCTAAAGTCCGAAAAGGAGTCGCTGCGCCTGCAGGAGGCAGGCATCACCAAGGAGGTCATGAACAGCGCCATAGCCCAGTTCTGCTTGGAAATCATTGCGCAACACGGCGAACCGGCGCCGCGCTTATGTAACAAGGATCCGCTGACTCTCAAAATGGGCTCCTATGTAATCGAGCTATTTCCCAATGTAAGCCAAACACACACACACATACGCACAAATTTATGTGTACATACATCGGCATGTATATACATGCATATGTAACCCGATGTACATATATGTACTTTTTTTTTGTATGCACGGTTATGCACTCTTGTTTCATATTCGCAGGCGAAGTTTCTATTCATGGTGCGGGACGGACGGGCGACAGTTCATTCAATTATATCGCGCAAGGTGACAATCACCGGCTTCGATTTGGCCAGCTACCGGCAATGCATGGAGAAGTGGAACCACGCCATCGAACTGATGCACGAACAGTGCCGCGACATTGGCAAGGATCGATGCATGATGGTGAGTAGCGTCTGCCAGGTGCCAACTGGACACACGGCACATGGCTGGGCAACGTGCTCAGATAAATTCATATTTCCTTATTTAATTACATAAGCAATTATATATGTGGACACAATTACATAAGCACAATTCTGACTTAGATTATTAAATAGCACAAGAAAAGTCAGTTGGGTATCATTGCTGATGACGTAAAGTAATAGATATTATCCTAGTAAATGCGCATAGTTAGGTCAGCAATTTTTTATATAATTCCGTTTCATTTGCTTTTTTTTTTTAATTACAATCGATGTCAGCTTGACCATTATATAAGTGGTCACAATTACAGTTAAGTATACATTAGTTTTAGTACTAAGTATATTATTAGATAATTTAATGTGAATTCATGTTTGGCACATATAATTATAATATATAACTGGCAACTGGAAACTCAAATTTATATATTATTTGTTTTACAGGTTTACTATGAGCAGCTGGTGCTACATCCGGAGGAGTGGATGCGGAATATCTTAAAGTTCTTGGATGTGCCATGGAACGAGGCGGTGCTGCATCATGAGCAGTTTATCAATAAGCCCAACGGTGTGCCGCTGTCCAAGTGAGTAATGCCATGCAGCAGCTGGCTTGCAACATCAACTAATTGCACTGTGCCCTTTCATTTTGCTCCTGCCACCGCGTTCGTGTACGCAGAGTGGAGCGGTCATCGGACCAGGTCATCAAGCCGGTCAATCTTGAGGCGCTGTCCAAGTGGGTGGGCCATATACCCGGCGATGTGGTGCGCGACATGGCTGACATTGCGCCCATGCTCTCCGTGCTCGGTTACGATCCGTATGCGAATCCGCCAGACTACGGTAAGCCAGATGCATGGGTGCAGGACAATACATCTAAGGTATGTGCAACAAACAATCAGACAGGCAGACAGCCAAGCGAGCAGATGGCCCAACAGACAGACAGGGCGTCAGTTGGGCTGACGTTTAGTCAATCGGTCAGGCGCAATGCACACACAAAGGCTACAACATCAGCCATTACCCAATTCCATTTCCATTCCCGTGCCCATACCCTTCATACCTTCATTTCCCATAAGCCATGCCCGAACCGGATATCCCCCAAAGCATTCAACATGGCGGCCATCCTTTTTGTTGTCGTCCCAGTTAACATTCTCTGTTGCCATCTTCATTGTCCTTTTTGTGTGCTCGGCTCTGCTGCCACAGTTGTAGTTGGCGTCGTTGTCGTTCCTGTTGGCTTCTGTCATTGCCATATTTTGCACTTTTGCTTTGTGGCAACCATTTCAGCATTGTTGGCCATATTCGCAGATACCATTTTATTTTTTGCTTTCCTTTTCTTTTGCAAAATACTCTGTAACCATACAAATAGCTAAAGCGGGTAGCTTGAAGAGAAAGTTTATATGAAGCTCAAGCTTGTTCTTGATCAGCGGCAAATGCTGCGCCTAACTAACCCTTTGTCTGTCGGATCTTGAGAGACAGTAAGAGCTTAAAATAAAGTTTAATATTCATTGTCCGCACTTACTAATTATTATATTTTTTTAATGTGCACTTACCCGGCATGCAATTTAAATTGTTTTTTTTTTTTTTTATTGAGTACTATTAATATTAATAAAAATTTGCCTCAATTATTGCATAATGTAAAAGTTTATCTCCAGTCTCGAGTGCAGGGTATACTAAGCGCGACTCAAGCTTTTCCTATCATTAAATTCAATAGAAAGCGCACTTTGTAGCTGGGTGCAAGGTATCTGCCAGTCTGGTCAACTCGATGCGTGCATTTGTACTTGTTACACTTGATTTTGTATATTTATGTTTTGTTCGTTTCATTGTTTGTTTGTTTGTTTCTTGCACTAGCCTTTTTGCACTTGTGTTATTATTATTCTTTCTTTTTTTTTGAGTTTTTATTTATTCCAGCCACTTTAACATGCGTTGCTGCTATTGTCGCCATTGTTGTTGCAGTTGTTTTTGAAGCTCTGCTTCCTGGGGGCACAACACACACACGCACACATGCACACACACACACATACACACGCACACATGCACACACACACACATACACACGCAAGCACTCAGCCTGTGCACAGTCACATCGATAAGCATGATAATATTGACGTTCGGCTACCCATTGATTTTCAGATACATAACTTTAGGGCACGTTTAGTCAGCATATATGCCATAAACAAACATAGTTCAGATTGTTTGCATTCATTTGCCGCCTGTTGCAAAGTGGTTTCCATTTTTATTTCATTTTTTTTTTTGTATGTATCTAATTTGGTAGACTGAATGCCGCAGCTGTTCATAAAACAAATATATAACCACAACTATACATGGTTGGTATATATAAATATAGCTTATAATATAAAGCATATTAATATGCACATGAGCTGCATACTACATAGTTGCAGGGCTTATAAAGTAGTTGCTGAGCTTAGAGGCTGTGAGAAGGGTTTTTCATTATGAGCCAAATAATATATTACATGCAACTGCTGCCGCCCGGCTGTGTGAGTGTGTGGCAACAGGCAACAGGCAACTAGAGCTAATAACTGCCGCGCATTGCACATCCTGTTGAGTGGAGTACCGCGCAGCAGCTTACGCCACGGGCGCGTTTAATTAGCGGCTAATTAATTAGAGCAGCTCAGCGCTCAGTCGTGTCGAGTCGAGTCAAGTATTGTGAGGTGTACTGTGGCTGCCGCATCCTCTTGCAGGCCGCTTGATTGCGACTCCGACACCCTTGCTGGCTTGACAACTGGCAACCGGTCGACATTCGCTCGAGGACTCCTCATAAATTACAAATTTGCAAGCAACTGACAAACAGCTGATGTTGCTGCTGCTGCTGCATGAGTTGCCTCTTACGGTCGGACGGTTGGTTGGCTGTCAGCTGCAGGTGTTGCCGGTGTTGCATGCGGTGTAGCTCGCGGTTCGAATCCATTCGACTGCAGCTTTGATTTTTTCGATGCTGTCATGTAGCAGCTCGACTGTCACAACTCCAATTTCTGTATTTTCACAGTTAAAATCGGTGGTGGTTGCATGTACGGCAGCGCGCCATAAATGGCAATTTAAGCAACAGACATATACCTGTACATACCTATACATACCTGTATATGCATATGTATATAAGTATATAGATATGAATATGTGCATACACATTTGCTATCAATTGAAATGCCAGTAACAGAAAACCGAGTACAAAAAGTCCTGGATTGCATGCCACCACCCCACTTAAGCTATTTGACTGGTGTGCCAACCACACACATACACATCCAGGCACACCACGCACACCGACACCCACATGCCAGTTTGTCGATTTGTCGATCTGCTGTGACGTCAACTGCAATTATAATCAATTGAGAGGCCACCAATTATATTTTATGCGCGTAATTTATGTTAATTGCAAATATCAGAAATAATTTGCCTTTTGCCGCCATGCATGAGTGAATGGGAGGATTTGCTGGCAATGTTATCAAAAGTTGTTAGCATATTAATTTCGTGCTAAAGTTAAAAATTAAATTACAAATTAATTAAACTAGCATATTTAATGAAAGCAATGATTCAGAGCGTCAAAGTCTGAACGTGCTAGTCATGCTCAATTAACATTTGGAACTGTATAAATGGTATTTTAGATATGGATGATAAGCATTTGTTTAATGAGGCTTTAAGGGCATCCGCTTTTAGGGAAGCTACCTGCCGTCATCTGCCACTAGATTTCTATGCCAAATTATAATATCAAAGTCGGGACTCGTCGTGATGTTCGAGATGTTGCAAGTTGCATAATCATTTCATGTTGCCGCGCCTTGCGCTAAGCGTATACATAATTATGCCAAAATTTTAGCAATTTAGGCGTCGCATTTACACTAAAAGTGCCAGCTATTTGCATACGTGTTGCGGCTGTGGAGTGGGTGTTTGTTGTGGGGCTAAGCGGGCTTTGGCATTACAATGCATCGGTTAATGTGCACAGCACAAAAATAACGACAGCAACAACAACCTGAACGATAACAGCAGCAACAACCAATAAATGACAGCTTATAAATAATACAAGCAACAACTACTATTTTGCAAACGTTCGAATTATGCATGCGCATATGGAGGATGTATTTTTATGATATCAAATATAACAATGTTGGCTAAAATATGCGTACCTACAGTATTTGTCTATATAACTCATTCGTGTTTATATTTTATGTAATGTTTTCCATGTAGCTAAAAGCCAACCGAATGTTATGGGAAAGTAAAGCGAAGCAAGTGATTATGATGGAACCCAAATCAGATGATAACAACATCAACAGCAACAACAACAACAACAATATAAACAATAATAATAATAATGAGGATAATACCATTGAGAACAACAATAGCCACAGTAATGTCAACAACAATAACATGTTTAATATTAATAAAATAATACCAGAGCAACAACAGCAGCAGCAGCAACAGCAGCAGCATCATCAGCAGGCTGACCAGGAGCAGGAGCAGGAAGAGTCACAGCTGCTGCAGCACCGGCATCAACAACAAAAACAAAAGCCAAAGGATGTCATCACGATAAAGCAGCTGCCGTCAAACTACAACAACAACAACAACAACAATGGCAAGCAATATGTCGGTGCACTGGAAGACACATGATATCCGCATATACCCATAAGGTTACCGCGCGGCAAACATTGAGACGACACACGGCAAAATGACAGCAGCAACAACAACAGACAACCATCAAATGTTAGCAAACCAATTTCAAATTGTATTGTCAAGAGTGTAAGCACATGTATGTGCATCATTTCCATATAAATACGTAGATGTATGTATGTTTATATATATAGTTATATATACACGCATATGCATTTGTTATATATGTGCTATATATATATATTTGCTTTCAACTGTTGTGTGAGTTGTCAGAAGAAACTATTAAAAAAAAAAAAAAAAGAAACTTTAAAGACACAATTGCCGCATACAATACACAATATACACTTAAATTTATACATATACATATATTATTGATGTACACATAAGTTAAAGATGATTAGCATATACCACCAAAAAACAACATAATAATTAATAAAAAATAAAAATTGTTGCAGGGCGCTCACTGCTAAGCTCCTCTTAAGTACTATCCCCACACTATTGTTATAACGAGTAAATTGTACATTTACATATATATATATATAATTTTTATACAACCTTTGGCCATTTTGAAAGGTTTTTTATAAACGATTTTCGAGACTTGTGTCCATTTAATATCGTTTGATGCTCCTGTTTTTTTTTTTTTTTTTTTTTTTTCAAACTGTAAGTCATAATTGTAATTTAATTTTGCACAGTGTGCATAAAATACAAGCTCTGGTTTTTAATATAATTATGAGAATCTTTTTACACATCTTATTCAACTCGAGTTTGAGTGCTTCATCAAATTCTGAATCTCAAGCTTTTAACATGTCTCGCCCTTCAGAGCTGGGACTCACAACTAAGTGCTCAAAGTATATTAAAAGAGTTTTTTTTTTATAAATTTTCTTCATATACACAAGCTCAGCTTTTTTTAGTACAGGTTTTTAAACTAATGACATGTTTATAATGTTGATAAAACTTACAAAAAAGAAAACTAAAACTTAAAGAGCTTTTAATAACGATATTTCAAACACATTTACAGACGTGCGTGAATGGGTTTATACAAAATTATAAATAAAAGTTTATCTTGAAAATGTTAAAGCATAGCGTAGAATTTTTTTTTAAAACATTTTGTTGCAATAAATTGACTGAATGTATAAACATATACACATATATATATATATATATATATATATATATATATATGTTATACATCTAGTATATGTATATTTGTTATGTATACACATACAAACTTATACACATACATATAAATGTCTAAAGTTAATTAAAGTTGTGTAATAGTTTAAAACTTGTGTGCGTGCATATGTGTGACATATAAAAAGAGATCGTATAAGTAGTATAAAACAGGAATAAATAACGCACCTAGGCTTAAAATCTGTTGGTGTTGGTGTTATAAGGCTTACTTTAGATAATATCTGGCGAATGTTTCATTTTAACAGGCAGTGTAGCGCGCACACACACACACACGCTCACATTTATTGCACTACTGTCCGTCCCCATGCGTGTGCGTGGTGTATGCGTGTGTGTGTGTGAAAGGGAAAGAAAGCATGTACTTACTGTTAGCTTTAGTCCGAACTTTTTTTGTTTTCTTTTTTCTTTTAAATTGTTTTTGCGCATTGCTAAAAAAAAAGAAGAAAAAAAGAATTGCTGACAATAAATGAAAATAAATTTGCAAAACACATACCAAAAAAAAAAAAAAATGTAAGAGTACAGCAGAATTTTTTACATCATATGCTTAACCTATTGTCAAATATCGCTGTCTGCCTCACTCTCGTGGCATACACGCATATGAATACGTATGCTTTAAGAGTTTAGCAAAGTTTATAAGTACTATTCAAATATATATTAGTGTATGTGTGTAAACTAATTGTGAATGTGAATGTAATCTATTTTTATTAGCTTTTTGGGGAAATTATGTTTTAAATATTTACCCTAACATTATTAATTGGCAGTTGCTGCAGATATGAAATAGACCCTAGCATAAGATAAATACGACTATGTCTGTACTTGTATATAAGTGAATGTCATTAAAATATGCGCAACTTGCAACAGTGTGTGAGGAGGGAGGAGCAGCGTGCTTGCAGCTGACAGACAATCAAAGCTCAAAGATACTTAAACAAAATACATACATAGATACATACAAATGAATGTTTAGCAAATTTATAATATGTTTACCAAAATTATATCTAAGCTGTTTGCGTGCACACGCTGCAAGATCCAACGAAAACGAATGAATGCATACTACTTAAGAATGCCAGAAAACTGTCATCAAATCAGAGTATCGTGTTTTTCAATAAACAAATATACACACATTGCAAAATAATATAAACTTAAGCAAATTGTACAATATTTATTAATGACGATAAAAAGAAAAAAACACAAATTAAAAATATATTAAATATATTCTAAAAATTAAAAAAATAAAATAAATAAATATATTAAATAAAAGTTACAATCCAAAATGAATGCACAATTAAATTGCCCAAATACTGACGAGATTTATATATTCAGGATAGTTATTGCCATTAAGAATATCTTTACTGTTTGAAAGATATATTTTTTTTATGTTTGTGCGGACTTCGATATTCGATTGGTATTCAAACATTCCAAATTAAATGTTGAACAAATTTAAGAAAAACGGCAAAAATTGGATCTATTTTGAAATTTAAGTGTGTAGCTTTCAAATTTAAATATATATGCTGCAATAATTGTCAAATTTTCGTATGGCATAGCTTTCTGTACTCGTACGGATCACAACTCTTGATTGGCATTCAAAAATTTAATTTGTATACCCTGAACCCATTGAAAATGGTAAAAAAGGGTATGTTTTTTTTGCAAATGTATGTAATACCATAAAGTATATATATTCTTGATCAGCGTCAACAGCCGTGTCGATCTAGTCATGTCCGTCTGTCTATCCGTACGTCTGACCGTATGTTTGAACGCAAGGATCTCAGAACCTATAAAAGCTAGAGCCTTGACATTTTAGCTGTAGGTAACTTGCTCCGTTTCCAAGCAATCGATAAAAATTCACAATTTAAATGTAATGTGAGAATACACGAATATTTTATAGTACAATAAGATGTACTGCTAAAAATTTCATCAAGATAGATTAAGAAAAACAAAAGAAAATGTGTTTTGGTTTTCCACGTGATTGCGGCAGCTACCGCAAATTCTAAGAATTTCTGTATACATGTACACACACGCAATTATGCGCGTCTGCTTCTATCAACACAGCATTGCAATTGCGATTGTATTGTTTTCTGTGCTGCTATTTGAATTCGTTTTTCACTCATTAAGAATAAATAATTGGTGTGGCTGTTGGGTAGAAGCGGCGACATATTATCTATTGCGAGTTCGAACCCTACCGAGGGAACTATGTTTTTTTTTAGGCTGGCGTGGCTGTTGAGTAGAGTCGGCAAATTAGTTGCAAAAACAAGAAGTGGTCACAATATAGGTTTTTGTAAAATTTGATCGAATTCTGAAATCAAAATTTTTGGTTTTAAATTTGAGTATCTCCTGCACTAATGGTCAGATTTTCGAATATCTTTCTGATTGCAACTCTCGATTGGCAATTCTAAAAATTACATCTAAATTTTTGTAAAAGTGAGATCGATTCCAAATGACAATTTTGATTTCAAAATGTAAATATCTCGATTTAGATGTTTGAATGATATAGCCTATTGAACTCATAGAGATCACAATTATCGACCTAAACATAAATGTACATAAAAATGACAAGGGCCACAAGCCTGTTACTGCTATGCGATATGAGCTAGTCAGCTTTGCGCAATTAAAACCATTTTTGACTCGTACGTATCGCGACTCTTCGACCGACTACATAAAAACTTACTTCATATATTAATTGCAAGCTTAAAATTACTGTAAACGAACCAAGCTAGTTTCAACTGAATATATCCGAGCTAAAAGCAAAGCCCATACTGTACGATAAAGAAAACCTTCTCGCATACATAGAGTCAACAGCTTTTGAGAGCTGGTCCATAAGGCTCCTGAATAACGAAGTTAATGCGGGATTGCTCACAGGCTCGATCCAAGCGACAAACAAATAAGTATATTGCAATCATGGTCGGTGCTTTACTCTTTTGCCAAAGATAACCCAATACCTGTAGAGGCAGCCCAGAGATTAACTGAAGATCATCTATTGTCGACCCGCACTAGTGTTACAGCATACACACACACAAACAAAATAAATTGTGCATAGATATGATGGTATAACACTTTAATTTCTTGTTTTTGTTGTTGTTTTGTAATTTAGGTTTTTTCAATTGGTGTTGTTGATGTTTTATTTGGAAGAAATGTACATTTCTTGTTCAATAAAAAAATGTGGTAGTTTTCATGTTTGCTTCTTCTTGAGTATTTTGAATAAGCTAATAATAACTATTTAGTTCATTCTTTTACTTTTATTAAAATTGTTGGCTTTGGTTTTTCTTGTTTGGTTTTGTTTAAATGTAGTTTTACGAAAAAATTTATTTATTTATTTATTCTTCTTCCTCCTCTTCTTCCTCTTCCTCTTCTTCCTCCTCTTCCTCTTCCTCCTCTTCCTCCTCCTCTTCTTCCTCATCTTCCTCGGCCTCCTCGTCTTCCTCCTCGACGACCTCCTCCTCGACCTCATCTTCATCTTCGACGATGTCCTCATCGGCCTTGGCATCCTCCTCGCCCTCGGGTGTCTCGGGCTCACCGGCCTTCTTGCCTGGTCGTTCTCCGAACCACTTTGGCAGTTTGGCTATATTGGATCGGGTAGAAAAGTTCAACATTAGCATACCAAAACTTAACGTTTGCAAAAAACATTCATATATCACAATTTGGACATGGAAAACATGGCACGACAATGAACAAAATGATGACTGTTAAAAAATAGTGTTTTTCTGTTGTCGCCCGTTGTTGTTTTCCCTGCGGTACGGTCAAAGTTACAATTTGAGTAACCACCAGTACCATGATGTGCTACCAGACTATAGTACAGTGCCAGGTGTGAAGCTAGGCAATTGGAGTACATACATTTTTGGCGGCCGGTGTATTGTTCCTTCTTCTCGTTCCAGATCTTCTCGTTTACATCCTTGGTGATCTCATCCCAGCCCTGTGTCCCAAAGTGTGTGTGCGTTTGTGTGTAATTATTATAATTTTGGTTTGTTTTAGTTTATGCGAATGTGACGAAATAGTACGAAACACGCAAATACAGTTGACATTTATAAAATATAGTATACAGAACATAGAAAGAAATAAAAGAGAATAGACGTTAAGTGTGTTATCGTTAGCTACGAATATTGTAAATTGGTCCCCCAACAAATCTAATATACAAATACGTTAACTTTTCGTACTGACCGTCTGACTGACCGTCTGACTGACTGACTGCCTGGCAGCAAAATATGGTTGAATTGCTGACACAATGGATAAGATTTTGGACACTTTGGCGGTGCCTTTGTATACATTGAACATAGTATGTATGCAGGTGGTACGAATAGTACA